ACCTTGTAAGCAGCAGGGCATGGGTGCTGCATGGGTGCGGGGAGCTACAAAGGGAACAATTGGCAGACGCCCCTGCTTGGGTTTTCCGAGAGGTCTGGGGTCACATTAGGAATGAGTATGTGACTGGAGGGTCACTAGTCCTCCTCACAGAGGAACACTAAGATCGTAGCATCTCTGATAGCTTATGTTTGGGTTCACCAAGTAGGACTTCTTACTTCTTCTGCATGTCTTTACGTTCTCTCTCTCGCCTCAAAGTCCTGGCCTTTGGAGAATGCTGTACCTCTTTTGTCTTCTGTGGTTAGCTTTTGTGGGATGCTGTTTAGCAGCCTCCTTAACTCATGTTCAGAAAATGAATTATTTGTTTTCATGTGTGATGCTTCTGTCATCTTGGGTTCAGGCACGGAACGGAGATGAGCTTGAGCGCAGGCCTGTTCTGTATTATCTTTATGTAATGTTTAATCCATGTGCCTGCCATGCATCCCTCAAAGCCTGCTGCGTTATAAATAGATATCTCCTCCGCTTGGCTTAGTGTCCAGCGAGGATGCTCATGGTGAAGATAGTGGGTTTTGGGGTTTATCTAATGAATCCTGGACAGCACTATTGCTCTTTTGGCTCAAGGCAGCAGCAGAGGTCCAAGGAAATATTTCAGCAGTGCCCAGTGTGACCACCAGCTGCTAAACAGATCAGCTAGCAGAGGGAGAATGGAGAACTGCCAGTGTGCTTTTAGATGTTTCATACAGACAGTTCTTCCTCCTCTCTCCTCAGTCCTTGCAGTATCTCACATTGCTGCAGCGGTGGGTCCATTACAGCAGAAAGAAGCCCATGCTCTCCCTTGCCTTGCCTAAAAAAAATGTTTCAGAAAAGGCAGTGGGGGGGGGGGGGACCTTTTCCATCCTGTTCCTGAAGAGATCAGGGAAGGACAGAGCCCTAGTGAAGAACTGCGTGACAGGTTGCTTCTGCAGCACCAGTGCCCAGGAGAGGTTGCTCCGAGATGGGCAATGGCGAGTCAGTGCTTCTCCGTTTACTTGCAGACGGCGGGTACTGGTTTGCCTGTCGCTGCCAGCCCGAGTGGGGCTGGCTGCTGCTGCCTCCAAACAGGAGCAAGGCTGGTCCTGGCCCGCTGCCAGCGGTTTCAGTCCACTGTGTGCGCTGGCGAAAGGCTAAACGCGGAACGCTGTGGCCGCTGGTCTTGAAGCAGCGGGTTCTGCCGCCTCCATAGCATAGCTGTGTCGCTCTGGGACTTCCTCCCAGCAATGGTTTGCTTGCCGCGGCCATGCCCGGCGCGGCTTGCGAAGACTACGTATCCTATTTTGTGAGGATCAGCTGGGCTGTGTGTCCCTCCCCTTATGGTAGTGCATCCAGCTGCAGTGATCAGCAGCAGCCGACTTCTGTTCTAGGAGGGACGTCCTGAGGTTTTCTGAAATTCATTAACCATATTTTCATGTTAGTGTCACTCTAGTGTCTGTGGGTCAGAGCAGCCGCTTTGCTCCTTTTTGGGTTGATTCTTCCATGTTCTTGGGAGCACCGTGGGCCCTAATCCAGGGGAAGAGAGGTAGATTTACTTATTTTGCCCGAACTGGCTTCGACCACATTGCAAAACTGAAAGGAGAATGTCTTTCTGGAAGGCTACTTATGCTGTGGTCGAATGTGTGGCCAGCTGCAGCAGGCTGCCGGAGAGGAACGGCAGAAGCTGGACTTTGTGCCGATACCTGTGCATTCAGCTCTTTAAATGAGGAAGGAGGGTGTCGCTTTTGTTCCTCGGGATCCCCAAACCTCCCCCCGGGCTTGTGGCTGCGGCTGCCCTGTGTTATGGAGCACCTAACTCAAAGTGGGTAACGTGGTGCTGTGACACACTGCTTACGTGATGTAGCCGTATCCTTCGTGGAAGGTACGTATGGCTCTGAGAGGCAGCATTTAAACGAATCTCTTGGTGTGACTGTTGAAAGTGCCTCTGCTTCCAACTGCTGCATGATCTGCTTTGCTTAGGCTCCGGCTGATGATGGAGTTTGTAGCTGTGAAATTAAAGATAATTGCAGGCTTCAGAGGGTGGTGTGGTGACCACCAGAGGGGGGTGGAATACATGCAAGCGAAACGTGCTACAGAAATTAGCATTGTAACGGTGGGATCGATGAGAACTGTAAAAAAAAGTAAAGGAAGCTTTCTCGTTGCTGGCCCACGTTCTCCAGGGGATAAATCGAGTCTGTTGGACTCTGCATCTAGTCTGAAACCTTTTTAAAGGGCTGGGAGGATTTGGCTGGAAGTGGCTCTGAGGTGCTGAAACGATTCGTACCGATGTAGACGATACCGGGCTGGGCGGCCCTCCCGCGGCACCGGAGGCAGCGGTTGTGGTGCGAGGTGAGCGAGCGGGCCCCGTAGGTTCCCCTAACGCCTGGGCGCCGATGCCGGGCTCCGAGAGCCCGCCTGTAGCTCCTGAATGAAAACATGCCTTTAGTGACACGGTTAAAAAAGGAAAAGGCCTGACAGCAGTTGTTGCCATGACGACAGAGAGACTTGCCTGCAATATTTCAGCTCATCAGCCTGGAGAACAATCTGATTGATGGTTACGTACGTGCAGTAGAGAGAGAGCAGAAGAGGGCAGGCCAATTATGTTGCGTTTTCCTTGTCCTTGAATGCCTGCGGCCACAGCAACTGTGGAGGGCAGTTTTTCCTTGTTTCTCAGTTTTTTCCAAGTGAGAATGACCTCGGGGGTCCCTTGGAAATGTCTGTCTTACCTATCAGCAGCAGGTATGTGACCCTCACTGTCTTAGGCTTCCTGGTTCAAAGCCTGTGCAGCGTGTGCAGTGGATACAGGCATTTGGCCCCTTGATCGGTGACTAGCAAATAGGTATTTACAATATAAATAATATCTTGGAGGGGGAAGAAGTACGTGTCAGCATCTGCGCCTAGCATGAGCGATCTGCGCTCTGGACATTCCTTTCTGACTGCTTGATGAATGTCTCGAAAGCAATTTTCATTGCACAGTTGCCAGCACAATTTCCCTCTTTCCTTGGGTAGCGATTGAAAATTGAGTCAGAGACTAAGATGATATGTGATCTCTGGTAAAACGTCATTCTCCCCATGCCTCCATCCCCAGACCCTCCCATCATCCCCTACAGGTAGGGGATGCTTCAGTGCTCAGAAGGAGCATGGCCTGAAAGGCCCTTTGCTTTGCAGGGGCACGGGGGCTTCTCTGGGGCCGTGAAGCCAGAGCTCTAATGCAGGCCCACTTGGGCAGCCCACGGGCTGCAACCACGAGCCCAGGGTGCTGTGTTTGTGACAAGGCGAACAACCTGTGCTTTCTAGAGTGTTTGCCGCGACTTACTGACTGCGTGAAGACCTGGCAGCGCGCTCTTCTGGAGACAAGTGTAGTTGGAGCAGGAGGGAAGCTTGGGAGCAGGAGCCGCCAAAGGGCTGTGCCCCACACAGCCACGTGTAGGCACAGTACCATGCCACAGCAGCATGTGCTTGTTTTCCCAAGTAGCGCTGGAAGTCATCTTCACAAATTTTTAAACGTGTTCTTTAAAGACAGAAAAGTATTAGAAATACAAATCAAGCCTCACGTTGCGTTGAACGCGCTGTAACGCCAAAGGAGGAGAACGCCTCCCTGGGGAGAAGGGCCTTGCTGCTGGTTGCTGCTTGTAACGGCCACAGCGGGTGACAAGTTTGTGCCTAACTGGTAACAATCCCAAAAGGAGGCGACTCTAACTCCAAACCAGGGCTGGAACTGCTTTTGTATTTGCAAGGCCAGGATTTCATTCTTCATGCCAGTTGACGCACTCCTTGAAGGCAGTGATACTAGTTCTTCTAATTGGGCTTGATCCACAGCCAAAGAGAGCTGAGGTAAATTCAACTTCAATAAGCAACCACTTGTTGTAGGACTGTAACGTTTTGGGTTAACAGCCCTTGGGAAATGTCTTTTTGAGAAAATGTTTAAGAACGAATATTGAGCGTTCCCTTAAAAATAGATCCCCAGAGACCGCAGATGCCAGATTGCTGCTCATGAGTGAGGCTGTTCTCCCTGGCTCCTGATGCAGTTTCTTCATGATGCTTTTGTCTTGGAATATGAGCAGAAACATTCAAAATAGAAATATTGTGATGTGATAAAATGGATCAAACCTACAAGAATGTGATACTTTATCCTCCCTCCCTGGCATATTTAAATAATTCCTTTGCAAGCAGTTTGAGTATGTATCAAGCCCTTGTTGTAGTAAAGCTTTTGCTGCATAGTGCCTTAACCTTTGTAATGCTAAGGGCCTTCTTTTTGCAATTCTGTTGCCTTTCACTTGCAGCTCTTTAACAGCACCTCTGAGCAGCTGGGGTGGTGCTTTTACCCTTGTATCCATCCTGCTCTTCCGTGGCCTCACAGCCGCCAGCGTTGAAACTGTTGGGCAATAGCGCTATGTCTGTCTTGCCCGGTTTCTCATGGGATGTGATTGCCACTGATGTGTGAATTGCCCTTTCTCCTCTATCCTTTTCACCTATCACTTCCTAACTTTTAGTTTATAACTTTGTACTGTGGGGAAAAAATTAGACCTTAGGAGATAACATTAGTAGATAATTGTAATTAAATAGTAAGCATTCCCCAGTAATAGCCGTGAGCCATCTGTGCCTGATCACAGCATGCTGCAATCAGCGCTGTGTCATAAGCCAGTAGGGAGACTGAGCAGGGCCTGGGGAAACCATCAAGGAATCACGGGGAAGAGTGCTGGTGGAAGCCTGAGCTGCTGTCCTGGAGACGAGCCCAGGAGAGGCAGCTCACTGGGCGAGCCTCATCGCTTTTCTTCCCAGCTGGTCGCAGGAGAGAGTTTTCCCTTCCCTACAGAGTGCGCAGGAGAGTGACTTAAGCCAGAGGAAAGATGGCCTTTTTCTCCTCTTACCAGACTGCACACTGACTGCTCCAGGCACGCTCTCAGGAGCACAGATGAACTTCTAGGTAGATCAACTTGACTCTCACTTAATCCTGTATGTTGTTTCTGTAACCTTCTTACTCTCTTTATCAGGCAGGTTCAGAGTCTCCGTTGGATCCTCAGCAAATCCAAGCTTTTGACCAGCTCTGCCGACTCAACCGAGGAACCTCCAGGGTATGTACCGCTTGTTTTCTTTCTGGCTTTAAATTGGTAAAAGCGATTTTACTTGGGGCCGGGCCAGGCCAGGCCAGGCACTAGAACTGGCAGAGGGGGCTTTGACTTTTCTGTTGGGTTTTGTTCAGTGGCAATTTGCTATGCGTAGAGCTGGCTGTATCACATCACGAGGTGGCCATGCTGCTTCTGGCTTCTGACAGAGCTGGGGGAATTCACTGGCAGTGAAACAGTGGAAATGCCTCTGGCTCTCTGAGGCTGAGCCTGAAAACTGCTCAGGGTGGGGCAAAAAAAAAAAGAAGAGAGATTTTTTTCCCAGAAACCTCTTTGCTGTTTTTACAGCTTCCCCAGGTAGCCTCAGTCAGATGACCTGCTGATGGCTTTGCTAGGGTGGTGGTGGTGGTGGGGCTGGCACCTTTCAGAGAGGGCCTGGGAGGACATAGTCCCCGTTACTTGCATTCTTCGCAACGTACAAACATAATTTTAGTGGAATATAAATAACGCAGCAAACCAGAGCCCTGGTGGTGCTGGTGAGAGAAGAGGAAGATGTTATTGCGGGCAGATCCTTAGCAGGGTGCTGGGTGCAGGGCTAACGTGGGCCTTCAGGCTCCGTCAGCGTGTTCAGAGTGAAGCTGTAGCAGGGGTGGCACTTTCTCAGCGCATGCTTCTCTGGTGTCTCACACCTCCGAGGTGGCTGAGGACAGGATCGATACAGTGGCTGCTTCAGCCCAGCCTGGAGGCATGGCTGCCTGCTGGCGCTCTCCTGGTCCTTGAGTAGCAGTCAGACTGGAGGTGAGGGACACCAGTGGCTCTGGGACCAAGCAGGCAGATGGAGGGCAGCGAGAACAAATGCCCGTGTGTGGCTGTACATGCTAACAGCAAAAGGTAGGGAAAAGCGAGCTGTGGTTATCTGCTGCCCTC